AAAAAAGGGTTGTTCTGGTTACCTAGTGCCACTCTGACAAGAATATACCACAAATGGGATGGCCTTAACAAACAGGAGTTTATTCTTACAATTTGAAGGCTTTAAGTCCAAGTTCAAGGGCCAGGCTCTAGGGGCTGGGTGAAAGCCCTCAACCTTGGGGTCCAGCTCTGCCTCCTACTCCTGGCCCACTGGAGCTAGAGACATTTCTTCACTCAGACAGCTGCTAGCTGCTGAGGCTGAGAAGCCCCAAGGTTGACAAATAAAAAGGCACAGTCTTGATGTTACCAAACCACACAGCCATTAACTTAAGTCCATTGTAAGTCCCAAGGTTGGCAGAGCATAGCAGGCTGCTGAGCAATGACACGGCTACATGCAGGGTCCAAGTATGACATAAGCTAGAGACCATTCCCAGGGCTTCTCCTTATATACAGGAAGCAGAACACATCCCAAAGGCAGCTACTCAGCTGCTTGTGGTAGATCCCGCCATGGAGTTGATTGCCAGTCTCATCATGGGGAATAACTACCACCAGCTGCCCAGTCACTCAACTAGGCCCAGCCAAGCTGACACACAAACATAACTACACAATTCTACTCCTTGTCAACTTGGCATCTGTATAAAATCATAGATTCTCAAGAGCTTTCATGGTGCGGTGCGTAAGGCATTTGACTGCTAATCAGAAGGTTGCTGTTTCAAACCCACCACCTGCTCCATGAAAGGAAGATGGAGTAATCTACTTCTGTAAAGTTTACTGCCTTTGAAACCCAATGGGGGTCACTATGAGTCAGAATTGACTCGATGGCCGTGACTTTGTCTGTTTGTTTAAGAGGTCACTGAAAGGAGTTCTGGTGGCTCAGTGGTTAAGCACTTGGCTGCTAACCTAAAGATTTTTCCCATTCCTCAGAAGAAAGGTGTAACAGTCTGCTTCCATGAAGGCTAAAGCCTTGGAAACCCTATGAGGCAGTACTACTCTGTCCTAAAGGACCACAATGACTCAACAGCAATGGTTTGGTTTTGGTTTAGGGTCTCTGAAGGAGCCCTAATGATGCAATGGTTCAGTGCTCAGCTACTAACCAAAAGTCAATAGTCCACACCCACCAGCCACTCTGCAGGAGAACTGGCAATCTGCTCCCATAAAAATGATAACCTAGGAAACCCAATGTGGCAGTTCTACTTTGTCCTACAGGATTGCTATGAGTCAGAATCGACTTTACGGCACACAACAGAGGCTGCTGATCCAGTCTGGCATCAACTATAATTAAAATATTAAGGGACAAGCAGGTTCACTTCCCATAAAAGCAGTGTATTCTGCACCATTGTTGGACACAGTTCACAGTTCAACCCAAATCTGTCATTTCTCCCTCAGTACATGGGTCTACAACTTTGCGTTTTAGTCTCATATCTTCCTTTGTCTTATTTTCTCAAAGCAAAATAGCTTTGGGTTTCTTTAACTATGCACTATTTAACATGTTAATCCTCCTAGAGACTCTTTCTAGTTTGTCATTGACCTCCTAAAATGCATCATTTAAAATTGGACCGAACATTCAAATATTTCAGCATTTTAAACACATTAAATGTGATATGACCAATGCAATAATAATAATAATAATAATGGAGCTATAATTACATGTTAGGGATACTATGTTGTTGTGAGGTGACATGAAGTTGGTTCCGACTCATAGCTACCCCATATATAACGAGGAAATAGTGCCTGGTCCTGTACCATCCTCACAATCATTGCTGTGTTTGAGTCTATTGTTGCAGCCACTGTGTCAATCCATCTTATTGACAGGCTTCCTCTTTTTCGCTGACCGTCTACTTTACCAAGCATTATGTCCTTCTCCAGGGTCTGATCCCTCTTGATAATGTGTCCAAAATATGTAAGATGAAGTTTCACCATCCTTACCTCTAAGGAATATTCTGGCTATATTACTTCCCAGACAGATTTGTTCATTCTTCTGGCAGTTCATTTAATGTTCTTCAACAACATTATAATTCAAAGGCATCAATTCTTCTTCAGTCTTCCTCATTCATTGTCCAGCTTTCATATGCATATGAGGCGATTGAAAATTCCACAGCTTAGGTCAAGCATTCCATTAATGTAGCAAACTTCCTTTTATCTCATATTGACTTTATGGTCAACTAAAAACCCCACATGAAATTCCATCAAAGCAGGTCCCATTTCATATTCTTACAGTTGAGTTTTGGATCCCAGTGGTCAGATTGCATCTCAATGACTGTGCTGTTCTGTTAGCTTGTCAAAATCTTTTTGAACCTCGAGGATATCAGCTGTCCCACCAGTGTTTCCTGTCAGGTTTATGTCATCTGCAAATCAAATAAATCTGCCTCTTGTATCTTCATCTGAGTTATTGATAACAACGTAAAAGATAGGCCATTCAATCATTCACTCAACAAATATTTATCGAGCACCTACAATATGTAAATTGCTCAGGGCAGAAATGACAGGAGAAACTGTATTTGTACTGGGACAGATCCTAAAACTGTTTACTTTTTATAAACCTCTATTATGAGGTGAACTTATTTCCTTAAAAAATTAATTAAGCTCATTAGGTACTTATTGATCACTTGCTCTTATTTCAACATCATGCTAAGCATTGTTAAGGGAACAGAGGACTTAAAAGCCAGGACCATGGTCTTTAGAGGCCTGTCCTCTCATTACTGAGGCAAGCTTTTTATGGTACAATACAAGAAGCATTTATGTAAATGAAGAAATAGGTGGTACTGACAACATATTTCAATATATTTGATTCTGGTTGAGACTTTAATGTGATTGTGTGATTGAGCTTGCTTCTGCCATTGTTAGGAGAGAATCATGCCTTGTAGTTGCTGTTCCCTCAACCTGGACCCCAGAGTGAATCTGGCCAACAGCTTGGACCTAAGCTCAGTTGAGATCAGCCAACCCCAGCTGACTTGAAGACCTTCAGTCTGAAGCAGCCAGCTAGCCCACAGACCTGTGAATGTGTGAATATATGCTATGGTTGTAGGCCGTGGAATCACAGTGTGATTTGTTATACAGAATCATCAGACAATAGTTGACTAATAAGAGATTACTCCAAGCTTACAAAGAAATCTGCTGAAATATACAGAACTATCTTGCCATGGAGCTAGGCTGCTCTGGTGGCAGATCTTCTAGGGAGGAAGCAGTGCAAACTGCTATACCTACTCCACTAGACCCACCCCACCACAGCCCCTGCCCACTGTAGGCACTCACCTGAGTCTGAGGCTGCTGGGCTCACCAGGCTGAGCAGCTCCCGTTCCTTCTCATAGTCCCCTTTGCAGAGCAGCTGCCCCTCCTTCAGGACAAACTCATCGCCCTTCTGGAGCTGCCGCTCACAGACACAGCAGCAGAAGCAGCTCAGGTGGTACACACTCTTCTGGGCCCGCATGACAAACTCGTTGGGTGCAATGGCCTCGAAGCAGCCCCCACATTTGACAGCAAACAGCCTGGCAAGGGAGAAAGGCAGGAGATACACTATGAGTAAGGTCTGGCTTGGCCCTTGTCTCCCTTCAAATCAACAGCAAAAAGAACTTCAAGCATTGGGGCAAGTACTCTTGTAAAGGAATGTTGTTTAAATCCAGTTTATTTACTCCCTACCAACATCAACTTATCAGTCCTACTGTGCTCACATGCATGTTGCTGTGACACTGGAAGCTATGCCAAAGGTATTTCAAATACCAGCACAGTTACCCATGGTGGGCAGGCTTCAGTGGAGTTTCTAGACTAAACCCAATCTACAGAGAAAGACCAGGCAGTCTACTTCCAAAAATTAGCAGCAAAAACGCTGTGGGTCACAGAACATTACCAACTCATTTGCTTTGGACACATAATCAAGAGGGATCAGTTGAGGGAGAATTACATCATATTTGGTGAACTAGAGGGCCAAAGAGGGCATGGGGGACCCTAGGTAAGATGGATTGGCATAATAGCCACAACAATGGACTGAAGCATGATCATGATCATGAGGATGAGAAAGGCCTGGGCAACCTTCTGTTGTGTTGTATATAAAGTTGCCAGGAGTTGGAGTTGACTTGAGGACATTTTATCTATCTGTCTGTCTATCTATCTATCCATTTGGCACCAGTCTGCACACAAACTTTGAGAATCAGGGGCATCACTAGGGTTGGTGTTACCCAGTGCAGTAACTCATGGTGTCAAACCCCTCATGACACACACACACACACACACACACACTCAAACACACACGGCCCACCTTCCTGCACTTGACTGGTGGGTGATGGGTATCCGTATGTGATGAGTTATGGCACTAACTCATATGAGTTATGCCAAGAGGCTAAACTAAAATCAATCAGTTGAGTTACTCTGTCACAAAAGCTTAAGGAAAGAAGGATGAGAGCAAATGGAAAATGGCCATTTGGATTAATGCTCTGGGTATATTTAGTATGGTCTATGACATTGGGTTCCCAACAGTTGCATCACTAGTGGGACACAGAGAGGTACGGACTGCAACCCCTGATACTGTCAGAGACAGTTACACCAAAATGACCCCAGAGACCATGGCAGCAGTGGGTGGGCAGGCACTGTAGGGGAGGGGCTGCCAAGGCAATGGCATCACTAGGGTTGATGTCACCAGTCACCTAGTGCCATAACTCATCACATACAGACACCTATCACCCACCAGTCAAGTGCAGGAGGGTGGGCCGTGTGTGTTTGTGTGTGTGTGTGTGTATCATTGGGGGTTTGACACCATGAGTTACTGCACTGGGTAACACCAACTCCAGTGATGCCCCTGGTTCCCAAAGTTTGTGTGCAGACTGGTGCCAGGCAGGCTTTGCAGTATCCCTGGGGGAGCTAATAATTTAAAATAATAATAACAATAGTAACAGTAACAAAAAAGATACCTGGGTCCACTTCTATCATCCTGTGAAAGGGTGTAGCCTCAGAAAGTTTTCAATAAGCTCTAATGTGTAACCCAACTTTCAAGAGATAGACTTGGAGAGATAAACTGCATCCCAACTTCCCAGCCCTCAAACATCTGGATTGAGTCCATCTATTGCTACTTAACTCCTATTTCATTTCATTCACTGTCAACAAACCACTTAAAGGGTGTTGATATATGCCAAGCCAGAACAATAGGTACTAGCAATGTAAAGGTGAATAAAAGAAAATCCCTTCCTGAAATGAGTTCAGGCTAAGGGGAGAGACAGACATGTTCAGATAAGTACAGGGGGAGCAGAGAGCTATGGGAGCACAGAGGAGGAAACAATTGTCAGGGAGCATGGGGATTTGCATTTTATTCTGTATTCAGTAAGTCTTGGTCAAACCAAGGACAGGAAGGCAGGCTGACTAGCAGGCACAAAGGGGTGGGGTAAAAAGGAAGAAGGCTTTCCAGTCAGAGGAAATTGCATGTACAAAAGCATGAGGCTGTGAAAGTGCAGGGCGTGTTCAGAGCTATGACTCCACCCGATCAGATGCCAGAGGCCTTGAGACAGACAGGAGCCAACTCACAGTAGATTCAGGAAGCTGACTGATGAGCCCCACTTTGGCAGGAACCAAGGACACATGAAAAACTGAAGAGCATTTTCTCATATACTGGCTGACCACTTTGATGACAAAAGTGTGGCCAATCCTATCTCAAAAGCTCATTCACACATACTGTTGTTATTGTGTGCCACTGAGTCGATTCCGATTCATAGTGACACTTCAACAGAGTAAGAAAGCCCCATAGGGTTTCCTATCCACCCCCTCATTTACTCATCTTTTTACTTATGCTATCCCTTTATAGCATAGTGGCTAAGACACTTGCCTGCTCACCAGAAGGCTGGTGGTTCAAACCCACCAGCCACTCCTCGAAAGGAAGGTTGGGCAATCCTACTTCCGTAGTGATACTGCCTCGGAAACCCAAGGAAGGGTCGCTATGAGTCAGGGCTGACTCTATGGCACATAACAACAACAACAACAATCCCTTTATTCTGGGAGCTCTGGTAGCATAGTGCCTTAGGCACTTGACTGCTAACCAGAAGGCTGGTGGTGCAAACCCACCAGCCACTCCTCAGAACGAAGATGGGACAATCTACTTCCGTAGTGATACTGCCTCGGAAACCCAAGGAGGGGTCGCTATGAGTTGGGTCTGACTCAACGGCACGCAACAACAACATCCTTTTATTTTATTTATTTATTTTGTTTGGGATCCCTTTATTTATTCTGAAGCATCCACTGCAACACATCAAACACACTGTGTCTCACCAGGGAGGGGAGAAAAAGAAACCACTACTCCAATACCACTCATTTACTCATTGCCGTCGAGTCAATTTCAACTCATAGCGACCCCTCATTGGGCTTCTCAGGCAGTATCACTACGGAGGTAGATTGCCCAGCCTTCCTTCCGAGGAGTGGCTGGTGGGTTTGAACCACTAGGCTTCTGTTAGCAGTCAAATGCCTTAGGCACTATGCCACCAGAGCTCCTACATTCATCTACATAAACAAGTATATCCAGTAAACCAGTTGCTGTAGAGTCAACTCCAACTCACGGCAATTCCACTGGTAACAGAGTAGAACTGTGCTTCATAAGGTTTTCAATAGCTGATGAAGTAGATCAGACTTTTCTTCCAAGGCACCTCCGAGTGGACTTGAACCTCCTAGTTAGCAACTTAGGGTAACTGTTTGCACCACCCAGGGACTCCTAAACAAGTACATATTGAATGTGTTATGTGTCAGGCACCATTGTAGGTACAAGAGGATTCAAGAAGTGTGACTTCATAGAGTTCATATACTAGTGGGAGAGACAATAAGCAAATAAATGACTAGGTAAATAATATCTATCTTCAGGGATTTATCATTTGAAAATAGTACAGATGAACAATACAAAGCAATGTCCTATGAATATAAAATAAAATGGCATAAAGCTTTACTCTGTAATACTTAATCTCTTCTTAGCTCTAAAACTGTACTAGCTCATGACTCTATGTCTGTCCATGTGCACAGTATGTTTATCTTGGAAGCTTCCTGGAAGAAACAAAGATTATTGAGGGTGGAGGGATGAGGAAACTAAGGAGGGGTTCCCAAGGAGGCATTACACACAGATTGGCACAAGAAAGACAGGGGCCATTCAAACTCTCAGAGTGAAGGAAGCCAAGGCTTGGAGAAGAGAATGAAACTGCCTCCCATGAATCCACTAGGAAACAGCCTCCCAGGACACAGGCCAGGCTGGGAGTGATTCCAACATAGCTCAAGATTGGAATTGCATGTGTTGTCTCACTGTCAACAGGCCTTAGGCCACTCTACCAAGCCTCCCTGCCCTGAGATCAGGAATATCTCAGAGATGCCTGAGTGCCTGTCCTTTGCCCTTCACCTGGGGGACAGTCCTGGATACGGCTCTTTCACCACTAACAAAGTGTACTACAGCCAAAAAACAGAACTCTGGGGACCACTAGTCCTTCCTCTGGCTTTTCCCTTTCTACAGCTGCCCAGTGTCTGAACTTCTGGGCACATCAGTCTCCTGAGTATTTGCATTTACTCCCTCCCACCCCTCCCCACTCCCCCATCCCCCAATGCTAGATGCTGTGCATTTGGCAGAAAATCCATGCAGTTCAACCTTGGGTCCTAGTCCCTAGTCACTGTTTGCCAACCTGAGTAAACTTATCAGTGCTCTTCCAGGAGCCGGTCAAAGGCCCTTTGTCCACAAGCCCTCCTTCTCCTCCCCTTCCCCTGGAATGAACTGTTAAACAGACTCAAGACAAACGCTCCCAGGGAGTCAACAAGCACTTGAGAATCTGTAGCAGCAGGTGGTAGCATCTGTGCTTATCTAACTTCTACCCTGTTAATCTCCTCCTCTTTTTGCTCCCTTCTTAATTTCATCCCCCACTCCAAAAATTTCCCTCTGAGTTAGAGAAGGGAGGGTTAGGGTGAGCTCAACAAGGAAGCCTGCCATGTTGACTGTGAGTGGCTAGAGGAAGTGGCAGGAGATGTCTGGCCTCAAACCCTGAAATGTTTGTGGTCAGTAGGGATTTCAGACCAGAGAGAAGGCAGCAGTTCCATTCCTCTCCATTTTTCCCATCAGCTCTCCCTTTCTGAGTTCTACTCAGGTCAGCCTCATCCTGCCACCTTGGCTCTTGTCACCATCACTAACCCCAGAGCAATTCAAGTAGAAAACTCATGCCATCCACCACCTGTGTACCAGATGTGTACACAGCTGTATGGGTACCACTGTGGACCCAGCTGTCGATTACACACTTCCCACAACTTGTTTTCTCTAAGGCTCAGACAAGCAGAGAAAGGATTTGTTCAAAAGTCCAGGTCGTAATTAAAACACAGCCTGTCTCTTCCTAATGCCCTGGATGGCGTCCCCCATGGTTACTTCCCCCTCTGAATGCTAATGAGACCACACTCTGGGTTCAGAGCCTGGTAGACTGCCTATGTATGCCCTGGAAAACCAGGCAAGGTTTCCAGAAATGTTCAGCTCTTCTAGGCATATGGGCAAGATTTC